CGTTCAGATCAGAGTATTCTTTTCCTTGGTGATGGATCAGAGGACGGGAAAATCCCTTCTGGGTCACTTTGCATGATTACACACAAGGATAAAGAGGTGATGAATGCTTTGGATGGTGCTGGTTCTCTGGCAACTGATGAAGAGGTTCGGCAAGAAGTGGCTGCAATGTCTCAGACTAATATATTCAGGCCAGGGATTGATGTGACCCAAGCAGTTCTTTTGCCACAGCTGACTTGGAGGCGGCAGGAGAAAATGGAAATGGTGGGTTCATGGAAGGCAAAGGTCTATGACATGCACAATGTGGTTGTTAGCATCAAATCTAGAAAGGTCCCAGGGGCTATGTCAGATGATGAGTTCTTCTCATCCTGCAATGATAATGAAACAGAAAGTGAGGAGTTCAATGACATTTTGACAGAAGAAGAAAGAAGGCAACTTGAAGTTGCTCTTAAATTGGAGACGTCAGAGCTGAGCTCTGAGAATGGTGATGGGATTATCGCACATCGTCATAGTTGTTATGAGACCAGGGAGGTTCCTATTGAAGATGCAAATGGTTTTAGAAATGGAGAGACTAAGCAGGAAAAGAAAGGGTGGTTTGGTGGTTGGAGGAAACGAGATTCTAAAGTTGAAGGGCATAAGAAAATTGTTCCGCCAAGAAGTTCTCTTTGTGTGGATGAGAAGGTGAGTGATTTACTTGGGGACTCTCCATCCATAAGTCAGCCTAAACCAGGAAGACATTCTGTGGAGATTGTTTTGAGGGATGAGCACCGGAAAGGGAGAGATAGCAAGGCATCTACTTCTGTGAGTTCTGAGAGCAATAATCGTCGCAAGGAAGGAGGCCGGGAGAATGAGTACAAGAAAGGGTTAAGACCTACTCTTTGGCTTTCTCCAAACTTCCCATTGCAAACTGAAGAGCTTCTTCCACTGCTTGACATTCTTGCAAACAAGGTTAAGGCAATTCGTCGCTTAAGAGAGCTGCTCACAACTAAACTTCCTATGGGAACCTTTCCAGTTAAGGTATGGTGTTTCCTTTTATATCCAGTTGAATTTGACAATACAAAACTCCTTAAGTACAAGTGCGCTCACTAGCTCGCTGTTTAATTTTGTCATCACCTACCACTGCCCTGCCCTTACAATCATGTTCTCTTTGATTTCTGCCTTGCTAGATCTATACTATATAATCCCATGATCTATATGGTACGAATAGGGCTGTCCATGCCTTTCTTAAAATTGAGTGCACTTTATGAATCTATTCAATGATATAAATCATATTGGATAGAAACTTATCGTGTGTTCTCTTATAAATGATGCATGAGGCTTTTGTCTTGCTAAGGTCTGGACTTAGGTTTTTGAAGCAACTTTACCTAATTTGAGTCTAATGCATCTCCAGCCCCTGGGAGTTCTGTTGAGCGAAGGTCATAAAATCATGATGTGGTGCAGTTATGTGTTGTTAGATTTTCAATATTAGAGCAGAATTAATCTTATACAATGTTTGCCTTGTAACGGAGGACAACTTCTGATCACATTCTTAATTAAGGGTGTGTTTGGCATTGCATTTCCAAGACCTTGATTTCCATCTAAACCATAGTTAAAAAAATAGCAAATTGTTTCTTTCTCAAAATCGTGGTTTTCAGTATCTTTGGCATTCCAACACCATGGCTTCAAAAAAACAACCAACAAAATTTGATTTTTGACTTCAAGCATTCCTTTTCTTAACCCTTACCACAATCTCAATCACTCTCTAACTAGTCTTCAAATGTGTGACATTCATTAACAGAGGACCCGAAAAAGATTTAGATATTCTTGTATTGGAAATGTAATTACTATAAAACCATCTAAAATCCTTTGTGGGTCCTTCACCAGCCATCTAAGGAAAAGTTTCGACAACTGCACCCAGCAACCCCTTTTACCCTGCTATCCCTTGGCATCTTTTTAATACCCATATGTCTGTAGGGCCAGCATATAGCGTAAATATGTTGAAAAAAAGAAGTGGTCAATAAAACAAACTATAGTAATTTTTTTTAGGTTTTCCAGTTGGTGTACCAAAGTCAAGGAATAGCGTAGCTCATTCCACTTTAGTTACAGCCAGTTATGATGTCTTGGTTTAGTTGTAAGATTACCTGGGGTGACGGGTGGTGTAGCATATTAAATACAGAGTTAGTATAGTACTCTAATGTGTTACATTTGCCACGCTGAAACAACCGTGTAGGATTGATGTTTCTAAACCCCAAATAGTTGCCAGAAGAGATTCTCTTCATTAGCCTTTGATTCTGATAAGTTGGCTAGCTCCTTTGTGAGAGGCTAGTTGGCATGATGCACTTAATAAATAACATCCTCTATGTCGTGAATAACCACAATAACATGGAATTGCTTGGCCTTCGTATCTTCAATAAATATTGACTTGGCTTTTTGCTGAAGTTGGTGAAGCATTTGCTCTGGTGAAATGAGGTAAGTTGTTGTGTTGAAATGCACAATGCTTGTTATTATACCAATTTATACCGCCTGAAGAAGAATGAAAGAAGGTGATGATTTTACCTTGAATGATGAATCCCAAGAATCTTCTCTGCTTATTCACGGGATAAGTTTTCAACAAGTCAAAGGCAGCATTTCTTCAGACTGCGTTATCAGTATCATGATTATGTTGTTTGGTTTTTGCAAATATCCATGTCTTGCTTAGTCTCTCCTTATTCCTGGTCTAGCCACATGCTACTTGTTTTTGGATGCAAGGTAGAAGCATAGTTATTAGATCCATCCAGCCCTGTCTAGCTGGTCAAACTAGCAACCCAGATAACCAGATACTAGGCAAGTCTAAGTTTGTGATAGGATCATCTATGAGTGAACTTGACAGAAAAAGTAACTCAATTCTGCTGAATTTCATTTGAATTTGAAAAGTTCCCTGCTGAGCTCAATTTTTAGAAATGCTTCTGGACCAAAATATGACAGAAAAGGATTTTAACCTGGCCTTGTGGAAAGAGAGCATCAAACACTCGCTGTCAGGTGTCCAACCATTCTAGATAAAATATCTAAACACTGTGCATAAATATCTAATTATTATGCATAAATATTAATATGGATGCTATAAATCTAATTGATCTAGTTTGGCTTGTTGGCCAAGTTTTAACAAATATGAGTTGGTACCTAGGTAAAGTTTTGGACTACCTCAGTAACATTCTTTCCTTCCAAATTCACTGACATGCTTTCATTAGATACGGGAAAAATCACATCAAAATTGATAATGCTGATGATTCGTACGCTGTGGCTTTGTTTACGCACACACTTCGGTCTGATTGTTTTGTTAATATCTGAATATGTTTTCTAAAAACTTTTTGGTTACATCCAGGTTGCTATCCCAGTAGTTCCCACAATCAGGGTACTGGTTACATTTACGAAGTTTGAAGAACTACAGCCATTGGATGAATTTGCAACGCCCCCTTCAAGTCCTACAGCTGCATTAAGAGAAAGTCCGATGGTTATGCAGTCCTCAACTTCATCTTGGTTTCAGTGGATAAAAGCCCCTTATCAACGCCCTAGCTTGTCTGCTGGTGGCTCTAGCAGTAGGATAGAGAACATTCAGGACCCATTTGCTATTCCTCCAGATTATACCTGGGTTACAGCTGAAGCAAAGAAGAAGAAGATGCAGGAAAAGAACAAATCAAAGAAAGCAAGAAATCATGGTCATTAAAGGCTTGCGTGAGATTGTAACCAATATGTAAAAGAGGTTTTAGCTTGCAAAATGAGCTGCTGATCAGCAGATGCGAAATAGGGAATAGTGTGTTATAAGACCATGATATTGTGATACTGTGAGTGAAAAAAAAAAACAAAGGATCCCCATGTTGGGAGAAAATTTGATGTATCATTGTGGGGGTTGGGAAGGAAGAAATATTGTGATTCTTTCTTACAACAATTGCTTGGCTTTTGTTGCATGTAACACGTTAACTCCATTTAGATCAATTTGTTTCACCACCTTTGTATGTGATTGATTTATAACTCTTACTGACAACCAGCTAGTTTCATTTGTAGCTGCCATCTTTCATTTTATCTACAAGTACATAGAGGTTTCCGTATCATTTTAAGTCAATTCTCTGGTCTTCGATGTCGCCCCCAACTCCATCCCTGCCATTCACTGACCAAAACTCCCACCATGCTTGCACACAGTAAGCCTAGTTCAGTGGTGTCTTCTGAACTTTTAAATTTTCACCACGAACCAATTAAGAAATCATTACGTGTTGAGCTAGACATGCGAGTGGGGAATTTCATATCAGCAATGAATTGAGGTGTTTATATATAAGATAAATTTAAAATTCATTATTCTACACTTTTGGGTTAAAGTGCCTTTTTTAAACGTAAGCTCTCCTAGATTCCTGTTTAAAAGACTCTCATACGCGTCTTATTAACATTTGATGGCCCTAAATAGAGGTGCTATTATTAAATCTGGCTTGAAGGATCGACTTGACCTGCCCCTTGCTAGGGTTGAGTATAAAAAAAATCAATTCAAGATTAATCTGGTCAAAACTTTATTAAAACTGGGTTTAACTTTTGAACTTTTAATTCAAAATAATGTTATTTAGAATTATTATTTTTTATTGCATCAGATCAATCCACCCAACTCGGGGAGCACACCCTGGATTGAGCTTAATGACTGAGTACAGGGCCAACTTTTCCAGAATAAAAAGAAAACGAAAGGACTGATTGGTCTTGGTTTCGTTAGAAATCTATTTCAAAGGTCCCCAGTAGTCGTGCAACTTGGGCAAAGCGTTACGCAAAGGATTGGACAGAACCATTGCAAAAGAATCCTGGATGGTTTATTTCTTTTTACAGTTTTTGTTTACATGTTTTCTGCCTTCCATGTTATAGAAGACTTGAGTTAATTCTATATTAAGAAACAGTACAAGAATGTGAATACTGTGAAATGTTCTTGAAGAACTGCATCATCAGGAGATCCATCTGTAAGAAGAGAAAGCTATAAATGTTAGAAAAACTGTGGGAAACTTTGGAAAAAAGGACAGAAAAACTGTGGGAAACTTTGGAAAAAAGAAGGAAAACTGTAAGAATAAGAGGCAAATTATTTTATACGGCCTTTGTTGAGTTAGAGAAAGATAAATTTATTTTATATCTTCATCCGTGTTGTGAGACGCTAGCTAATAGCAAAAAATTCGAGGAATTTGTCCTGAGAAGGACATTTCTAGTTCCTTGTATGCATTGATTCTCATGAGTTTGCATTCGTTCTATTTTGACCATGCTGACAATACAATTGTCTTATAATTGGTCCTACGAACTATCCTGATTCTCAACCTTTACTTTTCCAACAACCCAATCATTCTTTGTCCCCAGTCTTTTAAAAAGAATTCAGACACATATCCCACTTATCTTCTGTACGTACAGTACAGATGCCTTGAGATTTTATTTCTCCCCTGGAATTCTTATATTCTTATAGAAATGAAGTTGTTATATAGATCATTAGGTACTCCCAGCGTTTTGTTTGAAGAAAGACCCTCATGGACTCACCATTTATACCTGCAACCTGCTCTGTCAACATATATAGAAAATCTCAGCAGGCACCCGTTTCTCTAATCCTCGAAGTGGTCTAGGATTTAGACCTCTCCTCTGAAACAAAAATGTCAATCGAAGCTTGCACATTGTATGTCCCAAATGAAAAATTATTTGCATATGATGGCTAAAGGAGTTAAATTCATGCTCTGACCATACATTGACAGGTACTGATATTCTACGCCATAACTTGAGCTAACATCATCAGGCTAGTCCAAGAGGTTGACTGAATTGCAATTTCGTGTTAGTCCGGGCCTTCTATGTAGATCCTTTCCCCACTAATCTAGTATTTAGGGTACTTAATGAAGTTTATAGGTTTAGAACTTTAGATATATCCACATGTTGACTATGTTCTGTTTCTCCTGTGATTTTTTTTAAAAATAATTTAATGGATCTGGACTTGGGGGCTGCTTCCCATCATGTGCCTTGTTCACCATTTATTATTGCTAACAGGAGATGCTGGATGTGCACTTATTTTCAAGCCAAACCCCGCCAGCCCCTTTCTACCTACGTTGTCCAAACACCTAAGAGTAGAAGTCATAAAAGGCTAGAAACCTTTCCCCTAGACTCAACACACACACACGCACATATATGTAAACAAGTTCAACAACTTCACGCGATCATTAACAACTCTAGCTGGTGTCATGGACTAGATTCTCAGTAGATAATGTCACACTGTGCCTTCTGCCATTAAAACTTCCAAGTCTTCGAGGGTCATTGTGCATCTCTTGGGAAGATGCATTGTTGGCTTATGGTTGCATGTGATTATATTTTGAGCCATCTTCCACATTTCAACCAAATTGCACTCAACAATGAAATGCACCTAATTGGTTCTTGAGCCAATGATCAGAAGTATAATTAATGATTTTTTAATTTTTTTTTACAAGGGAAGGAGGAACAAGATATATATGATCCTGAAGATATTCCTTAAATCAGTAAAGAGCAATTAAAAAGTGGCACCTATGGATTTCTTGTTCACTGAATTGTACAAACACAAGAGTTCCTTACTCCTTCAAGTTCTCCATCATCAGAGGTGCTGAGACATTATGAAATAGAAGGAAAATTTAGTGAAAGTGCAAGGGGAAAACAAATAATACAGCTGCTTTAACCTTAAAATACATGGCATATATGGATAAATTGGAAATGGAAGAAAAAAACACCATGCACTTCATTTTCTAGAAATTGTTCATACAAGCATGCCCCTACATATCATAATGGTGCCTAAGCCTAAACACTCTCAAGTTAGGGACAAAACACCCTTATAACTGTTGAAGATTCTATCGGCAATAATTTGCTTATCAAAAAAGCATGCTGTGGCCAGGGCATTCATCATCTAACACAATCAAAATCCAATCATGCAAATTAAGTATGGTAAGCAGGAGATGGATAATTTTAATTACCTTGATTCAAATTCAAGAACATGAGCAATATCTGTTCCATGAGCAATATCAGGCCAACTGACTTTTCTCTTTTGATGATCTTTCCTTGCTTGATTTTCCCCAACTATAGCACTAGTAGTTTTCTTGAGAGTACTCTTGAGAGGAGAAGTTTCCAAGAGAGATCCATTATTAGACCCACTCGCATTCCTGCTTCTTCTATTTCTCCCACCATTGCTCATTTGATGATCTTGCACTGATTCATTATTACTGGCTTCTTCCATGACCCCATATTCTCTCTCTTCCGCAAAGGATCCCTTCTTAGTATTGTTGCTCCTGTTGCTTTCTTCACCTTTGTCGTTAATGTTTCTTGAGGGTACATAGCAAGAGCACACTAAAGAAGTGCACCGGTTCTGCCCTGAGGCCGCCAGGAGTACAGTCAGTAAGGCCAAACTTGATATCTCTCTCTATATATTGATATACCATGCATATCCAACCAAACTTGTAGCTGTGCCTGTTACCAGTAATGGGCTGGTATCAGAACAAAAAGGAAACAGAAGGAGAGGAAATCAGCCTGTATATAGAAGTGCTAATAGGGTGTGGTTATCACAAAACGATTATGGTTTATTGCTTTGCATCTAAGAAAGTGGGGATATGGCAATATATCTTGATTTTTCAAGGTGGGGCTATGTGTGTTGGGTTATGCAGGGTAATTGGGAAAAGATGATTGGATATAGAAGCACAGGTACAATCATGGTGATTGCCTCACCCTCCACTTAGACTTGTTTATATACCCTTCGCCTTTTCTTCCTAGCACTCATCATAGTGTTGTGGTGAATTGGTGTCTTAGGGTAAACCAAGAAAGATGTGGCACATGTTTTTTCCTTCTTTAACTTTTGACTGTGTGTGTGTGTTTGTGGGGATACATTTTTCATTGCTGGTTTACAGTTGGAAATGGACATGTAATCTCTTTATTGCATCTCGTGCTGTTTGCTTTTCTTGGCACAAGGCCACGGGGCATGCGACAAGTGAGTGGAGAGGGAAAGCGTGGAGAGGACGATCATAAAGAGAGCTGCAAGATCTTCTTTTTGTTTGCAACATTGTAGCTTTCTTGAGGCTTGAGAGGGCTAGTCTGTGCACTGTAAAGATTGATTAAACATCATTTCAGACGCTCCCCCCTCCCTTCTTTACCCTGTTACATGGCTGGATTGCATGAACAGGGATGAGCGAACTAATTCCTTGTCATAGCAAGTGCTATTATCGTTTGGAAGGGGGCACGGAATCTTGGATTAGCTAATACTAACAGCTATGATGTGCGCTTGATAGTTATGGTACAATATTGGTTTTGTCGTCTCGGAGTAGGAGGGCACATTTCTTTGTTTGTATCAGGCGATAAATCCAACGCGTTCACATCCACCAGGAGGAAGAAGCTGTGATTTGTAATGCAGTAGCAGCATCACCATTTAAACCTTTGTTGCCATTGTTTTGGCCGGCGGCCGATTCGACCTCGTGCCGTGACGGTGACCTTGACCGTGACCGAGTCCTTATACTAGATCATGCATAGTTAGCCGAGTCGGATTTAATAACTCAAAGCAAAATCTCATATCCATCCAGAAGTGTTCGTTTGGCAGCATTTCAACAAGGGGTTTCAAAAATTCTGAATTGTTTTTATTTAAATTAATTTTATGATGTTTTTAGATGGTTTTGATTTGTTGATATTAAAAATAATTTTTTAAAATAAAAAATAATATTTTTAAATTAAAAAAATGTAAAAAACACTAAAACATATCCGAAATCAAGGTGGCTTAGGGTTATAAAGTCTTGACAACAAATTCTAGTGACTCAAGATGGACTATAGCATTTGCAGGCCTTTAAAGCTGGACCTTTAGTTTAGTCTGGTGAAAACTGGCAATTTTTAAACTCTGTCGTTATATAATTTACGTCATGAAGGAAAAAACTGACCAATTTATTTATTTCTCTCTTTATTGGTTTAAATCACAATCTAAAGAGACCTCTCACCATAAAGAGAGAGAAATTCTCACGCCACACACACACATAAATAAATAAATAAATAAATAAAAGATTTTTATCAATAGAAAATGTTAGCAATGCCATACATTTTCTATCTTGTTGATTGGAATTCCATTGAGATCAAATCATTATAAAAATTGAGAAAAGTATTTGTTCTCATAATTTTTTTTATCTTGATATAAATGATTTTTTTTTAAATAAATCAATAACAATAAACTTAGTTTGGATGAGCCTATGCTGTCCCACACAGCAACAAAATATCCCAATGCATTAGTTGAAAAATATATAAAAATAAACAAACAAATAAAATAAATTATTAATGATTAGAATTGACTTGAGGTCAAATTTTTTAACATAGATGTGATTTCTTTGACTAACTAAATTAAGTTGGCGTGTTTAGTTATTAAATTTGATCCACTGATACTTTGCCGCAAGGTTAAGGAAGTTAATCCCAATCAATATCTTTGTTTTAAAACAAAAACAAAATCATGATATTTAGGTATTTAAAAAAAAAATTAATTTATTTTTTTATTAAATTAACTAAAATATGAACTAACTCATCATATCATCAACTAGATCAACTTTAAATTACTTTTATGTACACCAACATTAGTCAGGAAATCAATTAATTTAATTTTAAATTTACCTATTAAATATTAAATATGTATTTAATATTGTAATGCAAAATGTTTTTCATTTAAAAATATATCATTTTTTAATTTATTTTTTATTCGAGCATATCAAAAATAAAAAAATATTTTTTAAAAAGAAAACATATTTTAAAAAATACTTAATGCATCTCAAATAGGTAGTAAACTATGTGGAATTTAATTAAAAAGAAAAAACAAAAACAAAAAGAGAGGCGGCTTTGATGTATTAGCTCGAAAAACACATTCCTTGAATGTATAAAACAACTGCCATTGTTTCTACAATTATTTACAGCAGCTGCCCATGCTTAGTGTTCGGGTAACTTAGCCCATATGGAGTCCTTTAATCTCATCTTTCGATAAGTTAAACGAAGCCCAAAATGGCCCTTATAGCAAAGACCAGCTCCGTCCAGCCCATATCACTCTTTGTTTTCTTGCCTCCCCTCATTCTCTCCCTCCCTCTTGCTCTCCCTCTCTAAATTCACAATCACTGAAATTCTGCAGTCGCAAGAATGAACAGGTGCCCATGTCAAGTTACTTTTATGAAACTCTTATTCATTTGATTTAATTAATTTTTTAAAATGTTTATTATTATTATTATTATTAAGTAAATTCTCTTTTCCCATTTTTTAAAACATTCAACAAATGACAGGGTGATCGCAAGGAAAGTTGTTCCTGCTAATAATCAAATATTCAAACTTTCGAGGAAGAAATTTTTCAGTGATGAAGCTTCAAAAGCATCTACTGCTGGTGCTTCTTCCCAATCTAATCAGGTAATGGTTTCCTTTATTATTAATTGTATCATGTGTGTTTTTCATGTGTTATGCATTGAAGGGTCTTTTTTTACTAGAATTCTTGCTCTTCCAGTCTTATTTTTCCAAAAATTAGTTTTATATCTCTATAAAGGTTAATGGGTTCTTGTAAAGTTTTAATCTTTGTGGTACAATATTGGATTTGATTGTTTTGGTTTTGGTGTGGTAGGAGAGTGATGGCAACCTGAGTTTTACTGGCAATGTTCAGCCATATGACATTGCTATTGTTGGGGGAGGCATGGTTGGCATGGCCCTAGCTTGTTCCTTGGGTAGGTTTTTTTTCCCTCTCATTTGCACTTGTCTAATATTATGTTGTCACTGCTCCATTTATTCTTCTATGCTTGGCAATTGGGGGTTGGATTTAAACAAACAAGATCAAATGGAAAATATAGGTGCTTGCCTGTCAATGACTTTTGATACTGTATGTTCTTGTAGTATAAATGACTCAATTCTCATTGATGCATTATGTTTTGTATGCATCAAGTTATTAACTTTGTTGCTTGCAGCAACCACGCCATTGACGAAGCATCTGAGTGTTGCCATCATTGATAGCAGTCCTGCTTTGGCCAATAAACCATGCATAAAGAGAGAAGACCCACCTGATCCAAGGGTCAGTACAGTCACACCTGCAACTATATCTTTTTTCAAAGGTATCGTGATAAATGCACGCAATTCCTTTGTACGGTATATGTGTATCTCCTGTGTTTTTTGTTAATAACTCACACTGTTACAGAAACCTCAAGATTGATTTCTCTTTGCTTATATAGTGTAAGTGCTTTAGAATAAACTTTTGTTATGAAATTAAAAACACACCTGATTTTACCAAGACAGTAATTTGTTTCCTAGAAGACTTGGCATCTTAATTGGTTTCTTGAAAATACCACAATGAGAGACTGCTGATGTTTAACATACTTTCTGGCAACAGACTAGATATAATCTTTGGATTGTCATTGATGGTTTTGCAGATACTGGTGCCTGGCAATATGTTCAACAACATCGACATGCATATTTTGATAAGATGCAGGTGATGACTGTTTTATTTTCTTTTCTTTTATGCACTTCTATGTTTCACATGGTTGACATAGTCTGTTTCCAATCTGGAATTACCTAGAATTACTACCATTGCTGATGCATTTTAAGTTTTTTCGACTTGTGAATTTGATGCATTCCTGGCACATATGAAGTTTCTGTTTGGCATCTGGAACTAAATAGAAACTTCGTTACAAGGCTTGAGAATTTTTAATAACAGAATTTGGTTCACATTAGAATGATTTATGATTACTGTTGTGCTGCTATTTCTTCTTATCATATTTTTATTCTTTTTTGCAGCTACATAGAAAGTGCTATCTTTTAAATTGCTTGATTTTGCCCTCTGCAATGAAATATATACTGTACTGTCACATAACATATGATGCCATCAGTTGCCTGCCACTTCTTGGTTTTCTGTAGGTTTGGGATTACACTGGCTTAGGATATACAAAATACGATGCAAGAGATGTAGACAAAGAAGTTTTAGGGTAAGCCACATGTAGAAGTGAAAATATCATATTGTGATCCTGCTGTTAGACATCACAGAAGATGCTGATTTTGGACTCATCATGATGCAGGTGTGTGGTGGAGAATAAGGTGCTCCATAGTTCTCTGTTATCACGAATTGAGGTATTCTTTACACCAAACTTTATCTTCATACATAACAGGAAATCTAAATTTGTTGATGCTATATGCGATACCTAATGGGAACTTTAAATTTGTTGATGTTACATGTTATCTTATGCATAGATTCTATTACCATTATGGAGATTCTAATGGGAATCTATATGGGCCTATTGTATATTTTATTTTCTGAGGAATATCACCTATTTTTTGGTAGTTCTTTTGAATATCTGAATGCAATTATACTCTTTCCATCAATAATTAAAATATAAACATGTATTGTGTTCCTATAGGTGCAGGTCTTACTCAAACACTGGATATGCCCAGTCTCATCTCTCTTTTGTGGAAATTCTCATGCTTTCTCTATTACTTAATTTTCTATATGTGTTGCATTTGTGATGTGGAATAGCCTTTGAGGTCCTTGTCCCCTGACTGAACGCATCCATTCCTTAAGAGAGATATTTCTTTCTTCATATAAGTTCCCTTGGCATTTCCAGGGTGAATTATCTGATAACTGTGTGAGATAACAATCTAAGTAACACATCTTTTTCTTGTGCATGTCTTCTTGATTCTGTGATGCTGCATTTAATCTCCCGTTGGACATTAAGGAATACTAGTTTTCTCTTTTCATGTATCAATAACAAAAGCAATAGTTTTTCCACGAGGAAAAAAATGCTTTCTATTGTGATTTCTGATACTAAAACCTTAAATGTACAGGACACAGATTTCCAAAAGAAAATATACCATTCTAGATTAACTTCAATGTCTCAAAATCCAAGCTCGTCATCCATAGTGGTGGACAGTACAGCCTCAACGGAAGCATCATATGCCAGGGGACGTGTAGCAAAGCTGGAACTTAGTGATGGCAACAGCCTATATGCAAAGTTGGTGGTAATTTAACTTGCACTGATGAAGCTATGTTATGCCTTTAAAATATATTAGAATGAAAGATTTGCGATTTCATTTTAGACAAGAGCCACTATAAAATGTTTATAGCAAATAACATATCAATCAGTGTCGAGTTATGTTGCGTTCATCATAGGTTGGATCTGATGGTGGGAAGTCACAAGTCCGGGAGCTTGCCGGATTTAAAACAACTGGGTGGAAATACTCGCAGAATGCAGTGATATGCACTGTAGAACATTCAGCGGAAAATTACTGTGCATGGCAACGGTTTCTACCGGCAGGTCCAATTGCACTTCTTCCAATTGGAGACAAATTCAGCAATATTGTTTGGACCATGAACCCAGAGGAGTCATCTGATTTTAAATCAATGAAAGAGGATGATTTTGTGAAAGCTGTAAATCATGCTCTGGATTATGGATATGGTTCTCATCCCAAGTCAAGTCTACCAGGTAGTGCAGGCATGTTTTCATGGCTCAGAGGAAATGTGACAATATTTGCTAATGAGTCTTTTGAAATTCCACCAAAAGTGGTAAAGTTGGCATCTGAGAGGATGACATTTCCATTGTCTTTAATGCATGCAAATGAATATGCATCAAAGCGTGTTGTTCTGATTGGTGATGCTGCACACACAGTTCATCCTTTAGCTGGCCAGGGAGTTAATTTGGGTTTTGGAGATGCATTTGCTCTTTCGAGAATCATTGCTGAAGGAATTGCTGTGGGCATGGACATCGGGGAGGTATGTCATCTTCTGAGTTTCTTAATTATACTTGGAGTAGATTATTTATCACCATACACTTGCTTATATTCTTCAATAATCTACAGTGTTGAAATATCCATTGCCTTAAATATCATGTCAAACAACTGATGTAATAAAAATTGGATCACTTTTCCTTGTGGCATGTTTTTTATTTTCAGGGTATCTAGACATAATTACATTCCATATTTTGCATTTTCACCCATGCCTTGGCAGTTAGTTCTTAGTGACTTTTTAACAGATTACATTGGATTAGTTTTATCATCTGAGTTTCTAGCTAGTGATGATGCATATCCTGTCGAGCCCATGTTGTTGCATTTGTTGATCATTCTACATGATGAGAAAAATTGTCGCTAGTAACTTAGCCCATGTCGCAGGTATCGCTGTTGAAAAAATATGAAGCAGAGAGAAAACTGGCAAACATGACTATGATGGCTATTCTAGATGGCTTTCAGAAGGCATACTCCGTTGATTTTGGCCCTCTAAATATACTGCGTGCTGCTGCATTTCATGGGGCACACTTTATTTCGCCACTCAAGAGGAGTATCATTTCGTATGCCTCGGGAGAGCAAAGACTACCACTTTTTTCTTGAGCCAGCCATACAACATCACGAATCAGACTCAACTTCAAATTTCCAGATTTTGTATGACGCAATAAATTGTAATTTTCTCCAGACTACATGCACTGCTAACTCGCTAATATCCAAAAAGAACTAGAATAAGTGTTCTACCCTTTTTCTTCAAGTGGATATTTGCTTGTATGTCCACTTGAACCCGGATGGTAAATACTAAAGCCTGCCTTGTAAGTGATGGGACTCTGTTAGTATTGCCGGAAGCTTGTGTTTCTTGTATAATGCTTGGGCTGCTGATTGTTACTAAAACTAGTTCAAGAAGATTGATTATCAGTTGAGAACATAAGCTGGTATGCCCTGGGTGCTGCTGCTGCACAATCGTGGCCAATCTTGTTGATACCCTGAATCCTAATCAACAAGTATATCATCATAATTTGTACAGTGCTACTCAATATCCACAAAGAACTGCATGGATTATTGCTCTGCATCCTTGTTCAAGTAGATGTGCTTGTACGTACGTACATACATGCATACATCCATCCATCCATCCATCCATCCCCTTGAGCCAAGATGGTGCATGCCAAAAGCTGCAACAGATGATTTTCCAAGAGAATACATGCTCTGTTAACGTTGGCCAGAATTTGCGCGGGAGATTTTGTCCAAGAGTTGATCCTGATGATGTGAATATTTTGGTTGACTATTTTTTTTTTTTGGTCTTTATGTCAAACTTAATCAATAAAATCTGATACCTCTCATTGTTCATTACTGGTCTGATCCATTTTGAACTAACGTTTCACTGATTTTCTCAAAATATTCAATGAGGATTATTATGGAATCACTGCTAACTTGGCTGGGAATGGAGGAATCAATTCAGATTTAACATCAAGCTGTACTTGCCATGGGAATTACTGGCGAACCTGACACTGTATAATGGTGAAAATTCAAAATCCATTCTTATTCAGATTCCTGCACGGAGCATTTGGCAACCTTACAGGCCACTAAGATTTCAACTTTACTTTCAAAGCCAGCATCATGAAGATATGTATCACAACCAACTGTGAGCGAGTAATCTGGCAAATAAATGTCTTAAGTCAGAGCAGGGCGTGAAAATGGGAGCTCGAGGACTCAAATGATATAGAAATATACCAAAGAGTGAGGGTTTCAATCAACCAAAGCACCTCAGCAAAATTTAATTGCAGAAGCCAGAATTCAGCCGCCACAGTGAAAATTGAAGTAGAATGCCTTCGTGGTTTAGGATCATGTATTTTCCTCAGATGTACATTGCACATGCTGTGCAAACAAATTCAAATGCAGTAGAAAGGGGATCATGTATTTTCCTCAGATTGTACATTGCGCTCATTTCGGCAGGACTATCCAAATCTAAACATGAAATCACTAACAAGCTGACTGATCAACATCAGAACAGGAACATCAAAATCTAATACTAGAATTTCTTCCACTTCTGTCCTTTCCTTCTACAATTAAGCCAATTAACACTAGCCTGCCAGCTTGAAATGCTAACAATATTCATTTTATCCTCATAGAATTGCTAGCTGCTCCGAAACTTTATTCATGGAGTTCATGATCTCTACAACTAAGAACAATGCAAGAAAAAGGTGACTCGGATCGAACCAATTAGACTCAGAAAGTTCATCACCGAAAGACAGCAGCGAGCTTTTCAAGAGTCAGTGGCTTTATAATGCAGCTGTCAGCGCCTGAGTCCATGAAAGCTAGTCGCTTAAACTCACCAGTAACACCGACAATGTGGCTTTCAACACCCATCCTGCGTAACAGATTTATTGCCTAACAGATGTGGAGCAAAAATGTCAGTATCATAATATAAAGATTACCTACAGCTGCTGCCTTTTCACTCTATCAAGTCAGTGGTCATTTGCAGAATTTGTACAAATTTGTAACCCTAATTATATTCTGACCTATCAACAAAAGAACAAAAAAAAAAAAAGAGAGAGATTCTCTCTTTATTACAATTTGAGTCTGACAGTAATGGTCTATACATAATGATCAAATATTCAAAGACTTTATCTTAATTAAGTTCAATGGAAAAAGACAGACCTCAATTCCATCCATGAAGGGCATCAGGTCATCCATAATAATCATATCAAAGGAAGCCCCGGCAAGATGAAGATAAACAGCTTCTTTTCCATTTTTGGCCACTGAAACATCCATTTGAAGCTTCTTTTGATACCCAAGCAACACCAAGAGCCTCTGGCGGGTTTCTCGAAGATCACGACTGTCATGGACAACAAGTACCGAGAAATTGTTGCTGTCATCATGAAAAAGAACGATAGCAATTGATCTTAATATACATTTGAAGAAAATAATTCACTAAGCAATATCTCAAGACAATAATTCTCGGAGAAAGGTTTCACACATACCCCCTTGTGTCTACACTTTCAACACTCTGTGTCTTCTGATCATTCAGCCATTGGTTCGCATAAGTAACCAACGATCCCACTTCAAGATCGTTCCTTGTATCACAAATTTCAAGAGTAAGTTTCAAAGTCGTGGCTTCTTCTCGATCTCTATCGATTTCTTCCCTCAGGAAGGATATATTCTCTAATACATGCAGCTCTTGATCCACCTTTGCCATGTAGCGATCCAGTTTTCTAACTAGAAACTGAATTTGCTGAAGATCAGTATTGTTTCTTGTAAGATAGGACGGAGCCACCATTCCATCCCTCTTTATGAACCATTTATCCTCACCATCTTCTGCTTTGATCTTGAGTACATCAATCAGCAATTGAATTACTTTTTCAAGAAGTGCTTCAATTTTTGCCTTGGATGACTTGGCATCGGTCAACTTTCCTTCCAAATTTGTGATGTAATTATCCAGTATAGAAAACAAAGCCTGAATTTCTTGTTCAGTTTGAGCGCTATCTTCCTCATCTGAAACTTGACTTGTCATCGTAGGCTCCGTTGGTGGTGTTATTGGTTCGACAACCATTGATGAATCAATGGTTTGTTCGATTTGAGTGCTATCTTCCTCGTCTGAAATGCGACTTGTCATCATAGGCTCCGTTGATGAATCAATGGTTTCTTGATTTTAAGAGAGAGAGACTGAGAGGATGGCAAGAAAAGTGAATGAGTTATTGAAGAGAGAGAGGGGCGGCGCGCGCCAAAGTTAGTTCTTTTAAACAACTTTTTTTTCCTGTTAGCTAGGACTAGGAGAGAAGTGGTTAAGGTCACATACTGGTGAGATACTGATTTTGAAGGAGGGCGAGAGAAGTTTAAATATTGCAATCTTGAATAAGTTTCTTTCTTATATATATTAAAACAAGGAGAAAAACAAGAAAAAATTTTCAGCAATCGCACTGACATACCTCAATTCCATTCATGATGGGCATTAAATAGTCCATAACAATCATATCAAAACAAGCCCCGGCATGATGAAGAAAACAGTTTCTTTTCCATTTTTTGGCCACTTAAAAACGATTGGAAGCTTAGTTTCTGACTCGATCCACGTGAAGAGTTCGCGAAGGGTTTCTGGATCATCACAGCTATCATCGACAACAGGCACAGATTATTTGTTGCTTTAAACATAAAAAAATCTTCATAGCAATTGATAAGATGGATTCAGAGTAAAAGATTAACATTGCTCGTCATTAATAAAGATATATCTCAACATAATTCACAGTAAACATGCTGTTAAGGTTAATATGCTGTAACTAGTTAAGTTAGGGTGACAGCTATTTAATCTTAAGTTAGATTAAAAGGTGATGAAGATGAACAAATGTAAGGCTGCGATGTGGTGGCTTATATGTGTGTGTGTGTGCGCCCGTGGATGCTCTGGAGATGAACGAGAGAAAGAAAAGAAAACGAGTGATAAGTTTCTGCAATGTTTTCATCTCCCCTGCTATTCTGCAGAAAATAGCAGACTGGTTTTGACCACACGCAAGCTAATAAATTAGCCAAAACATACCCCTTTGACTCCGAGTCTCCACTTTTAACAATCTCCGTCTTCTGATTCAGCCATTGATTCACGCAAGCAATCCTTCGTCTTACTTCAAGATCGTTCCTTCTATCACTAGATTGAAGAAAAAATTTTAAAGACTCGGCTTTCACTCGATCTGCATCCAGTGCTTTGATTTCTTCCCTCAGGTAGGATGGATTCTCTAATACCTTCACCTTCCGAAGAACCTCTGCAATGTACTGGTCCAGTTCTCTGAAAAAAAAATAGCTCAAATGGAAGCTTCCAGGGCGGCGACAGATTCGTCTCAGCCGCCCGACCTTGAACGATGCATATAATCGACAGACATTTGGTTTGGCATGGACAATCCTTTCTCTCTCTTTTTTCCCATTACTTTCTCTTTTCTTCTCGGATTCTGCATCTTTCGAATTTTCAGATAATCTTATTTTTAAATTTAATTTTTATCCTTTTAATTTTTAAATTTAATTTTTAGTTATTTTATAAAATTTTAATTTTTTTAATTTTATTTTTTAATCTCATATTACCATCTTTTTTTTTTCATTTTAATTCTTATTTTTTCATTTTTAATTTTATTTTTCAATCTAAATTTATGAATTTTTTTTAATTCAATCCTCAATTTTTTTATTTTTTTGTTAAAGTTATTTTTTGTTTTTTTATTTTGCCTCTCAATCTAAAATTTATAATTACTCTTTTGATTTATTTTTTATTTTTATTTTTATTTTTCTAATTATTATTTTTTTATTTTGAATTTTTATATAATAACTTTTTAAAAAAATTTAATGCCAGAAGCCAGTATGCAGCATTCCAAGTCACGATTAAAAGTAGAAGGCCTTAGCAGTTTAGGATCATCACTGTCATTTTTATTTTTTTTAATTTATGTGGGGTGTTCGGGTCAGCTTGCGCGCATCACGACTAATTTTCACGATCTACTGAATATCCTGCAAACCCAGTAGGCATGTAAGATATCGCGGGGATGACAGGCGTGCACGCTAGGGCTTGAATCCAGGTGCAGTGAAAAGAGACGAACCCCTTTCACCGCTAAGCCAAGCACTAGTTTGCTATGTCATTTTTAGATGCTTAAAAGGAATTCAAATGCTGCAGAAACCAAATCCAAACGCTGTAAAAATGGAATCAGCATCGCAGTAAGGTAGCCATTTCTTTCTGCAAATAGCTAAGCATGCCATGATAATCAAACAGCTGAATGATCAACATCAGCACAAAAACAATGAATACTAATACCAAAAATGTCTACAACTTTTATCCTTCTCTTTTACAACTAAGCCAACACAACACCTCCCAGCTCTGCTTGAAGTACAACTATTCATTTATCTCAAAGAATAACTAGCTAGTCGGGAGTTCTATCCATGGAGTTCATCTCTACAACTAGGAACCTTCCAAGAAAAGTAAAAGCAGACGGATTAAACTGGGAAACACTTAAATTGCAAAGTATGGGTCGCTGAGATCAGGGAAGAGATCAGCGACCTTTGCAGGAGTCAGAGGCTTTTCAATGTATTGGTCTATGCCCGCATCAATAAATGCTTGTTTCACGGTGTCATCACCGACACCAACAATGTAGCTGACAACACCCATGCCGAATAGCTGCTTCGTTGCCTGACAAAAGAGGAGCAAGTGTCGATATCATAATATTAGTTCAGAGGAACTCAAATTCCATCAAGCAAGCAGATACTTTCAACATTTTCGTGGGTACAATTTGTGCTTCAAAAATAAAACTAAAATGGCCTCAGAATCATGAAGAGGCTACTTTCGAGTTTATTCAGCCCCTATCTATTTCATCATGATCAAGATCTGATGTACATCGCTGCCTTCTCACTCTATCAAGTAGATGTTTCTTATGCAGGTCTTCGTGCAAATTTGTAATCTTGAATAAGTTTCTTTCTGATATAATAAAACGAGAAAAGAAAAGAAAGAAAAAACGCTCTGCAATCGCGTTGACATACCTCAATTCCATTCATGACGGGCATTAAATCGTTCATAACAATCATATCAAAGGAAGCCCCAGCAAGATGAAGATAAATAGCTTCTTTTCCATTTTTTGCCACTTGAACATCCATTGTAGGCGTCGTTTCTGACTTAATAGACATGAAGAGTTCGCGAAGGGTTTCTCGATTTTCACAGTTGTCATCGACAACAAGCACAAAGTATTTGATGCTGTAAACATAAAAAAGGAAAAACCATAGCAATTGATAAAGAAATATCTCAAGAAAATTCACAGTAAGAGTTTTCACAGATACCCCTCTGACCTTGAGTCTACACTTTTATCGCTCTCCGTCTTATGATTCAGCCATTGATTCACGTAAGCAATCCTTCGTCTTACTTCAAGATCCTTCTTTCTATCACTAGATTGAAGAAAAAGTTTTAGAGACTCGGCTTTTACTCGATCTACATTCAGTGCTCTGATTTCTTCCGTCAGGTAGGATGGATCCTCTAATACATTCACCTTCCGATCAATTTCTGCAATGTACCGATCCACTTCTGTTGCTAGAATCTGAATTTGCCTGTGATCTTTCTGAACCATTGACGCACGGTTTCCTGTAAGATTGGAAGGAGCCCCCATTGCATCAGTCTTTGTGAGTCCTCTATCCTCGGTATCTTCTTTCTTGAATTCATCAATCTTTTGCATCAGCAATTGCCTTGCCTTATCAAGATGGTTTCTTCTTGCAGTGCTAGAGTGATGAGATTTCCTTGCTTCATTCACTAAAGCTTCAACTTCTGCCTTGAAGGACTCGGCAGAAGTGATCTTTTTTTCTAAATTTGTGACCCTGCCGTTCAGTTGCACGAGTAAAGTCTTGATTTCAAGATCAATTTGAGTGTTATCTTGACTTGTCATTGAGGGTTTTGCCGGCATCGATGAATTAATAGTTTCTTGGTTTTGAGACGGAGAATCAGAAAGAAAAGTGAGAGGCTTGTTTCTGTAGCTAGGAGAGAACGTCAGAACAATAGCTATTATATTCTAATAAGAAACCTTTCTTTTTCTCTATTTATCTGACACCTAAACTTCAATTCTGTATATATAGAGAGAGGGGGAGAAGTGGTTAAGTTCACATGAAGGTGAATGGCTAAATAAGAAGCTGAACAAAAACACGAAAACCAGTGCATTCTAACAATTTCTACCACTTCTGGACTCCTTTCCCTTTCCTAAGCCAATTGCAAGCAACACTTCTTCAGCTTAAAGCGCAACGATTAGTTTGTGCAATTATTTGTTTATCTTCTTAGCATAACTAGCAACTCAAAGACGCTATTCATAGAGTTCACCTCTAGATCGAAGGACCATGGAAAAAGATTAGCACAGACCAATGAGGCCCAGAAACTCTCTAGCTCATGATGGTGTATCGATCCTTCTTTGCTAGTTTGGGATCAGGAGGACAGAAGTGATCTCTGTAGGACTCAGCGGCTTTTCAATGCAATTGTTGTTCAGACTCAGAAGTGACGCCTACAATCTGAATCTTAACACCCATCTTGCATAATTGCTCAGTTGTCTAAAATATACATGCAGGAGCAATTGTCAGTATCGTAATGCATATCAGAACATTGATTGAGAGTTGAAGTTTTCATACAGGAAGTTAAGTTATATTAACATGCTTATGCTTCAAGACTAAACCAAAATGGCCTCGTAACCATGAAGGATCAACTCCATTCAGCTCCTATAAATTTCATCATGCTCAAGATCAGATGCAGGCTGACGGTGATTATGACTTATCTAGAAAAGAGAATAAGTAAGAAACTTAAAAATCAGTTATAACTGATTGAGTTTACTTATGGATGATGTTGAGGTTGGGAAACGGTGACAGGTGACCAATGATAAATGGCGGGTGTTGTCAAACACAGAGCCTATAACCAGGATTTTGGCGGGAAATTTAGTTTCGTTGGGCCAGCCAAGTGAGCCGTGTTCTCGAAAAAGGTTAATAATATCATGCAATAACTTTCAAAAAAAAAAATTGAAATATCCCACAAAAAGGAAGTTCATATGGCCCGGTTAGAATCTGACTGAATCTATTAAATTTTTGTTTTTCTGCAACAAAGTGAGACTTGTAATTGATTGTTGAAATAATTAGTTTTATTTTATGCAAATGTAAGTATTGTTAAATTTATCATCGTATTGCTTTATTGACATCCGTCAATGGCTAGTTACCTCCACGTTCAAGTGAATCACAGCTGATGCCTATCTGTTTGAGGTTGTCAACTTCAACAAATGGTTAAATGGAATTGAAATGATACAGAAATCACATTCTCCTGTGGTCAGTATTGCAAATCAGTTGAATAAGTCTAAAACAAATATCAGAACATAATTAAAAGAAAAAGGGAATACAACATATGCCTAGAATTGATAGCTAGTCTGCTATGCGGTAAGATATCGCATTCTCATTGCTGCAGTTCCTGTATCTGTGTGATCAAATCTAAGAATTTAAGTCCTCACCGGTACCTGGACCGATTAAAACTGACACGCAGAATTTTCAGCATTTCACGAGCTAGCCAATTTAGCTCGAACCTTGTCAATCCCTTGTTCGGTCTTTATCGCCGCCTCTAAGAAAATTTGGTTCTACAATTCATTTTATGTTCATATCATAGCTTGTAAGAAATTTTTCGATTGTTCATTATATCTCTTAAAAAAGAGAAACAACGAGGACCTATCAGCCTCCAAACTGAAAACCGTAATGTTCAAAGGCAGGAGTCAATTCAGTAGAACCTGCAATTAGGCTGGGATTATCCAGAGACGAGGTAGGTCATTTCCTCTAAAGCCAGCTAATTCCGTTAGATTAAGCAAATAAATCTCCAATCAAGTCTCATCCCTCTTCTGGCTCTTTCATTCAGTTCCACATTTCATTTGTCTTCCTATTTAAATGCTTATGTCTTCCTATTTAAATGCTTATAAGGAATATGAATTGCTGCAGAAACAAAACTGAAATTCTGTATACATTGGAGTCATCTCCGCACTAACTAAATCTGAGTTTCTATCAGATCAGTGAAAACAAATACTGACCAGATAAATGATCAACATCAGAACCAGATCAATGAAAACCAATACAGTTAAGCAATACAACACTTCCCAATTCATCTTGCTAGCCGGAAACTTTATTCATAGAGCTCATCTCTGCATCTAACTTGGAAAAAAAGCTAACACAAACCAATGCGACCTAGAAACTCTCCGTTTGTTGGGTTAACAAAAGATAGCAGCGATCTTTTCAAGATTCAATGGCTTTTTGATCCACTTGTTTATGCTTGAGCCCCTGAAAGCTGGTTTCTCAAATTGATAACTGACACCGATGATCCGGCTCTTAACACCCATCTGACGCAACTTCTTTACTGCCTATCATATGAGGAGTACTAAATGTCAACATGATAATATGAACATTTTTAGGAGGTTTTGGGAAATTATCATGCAAGAAGGTATTTAAAATTTTAAGCAAACCAAAAGGGCCTTGGGATTACGAAGAATCTACTTTCAGGTTCATTGATGAGTTACAATGTTCTATTTAATCATGATCAAGATCAGACAAGTACCGACAGTTGTTTCCTTTTCACTCTATCAAGTTGGTGGTTCTTGTGTGAGACTTAATACAAATTTGCAACCTTCAATTATATTCTGAATTATCAAGAAAAGAAAATAATAAGAATCTCTGTTTTTCCAATTTTAGCATGCAATTAATGGGCTTTCCAGAAAACAAACCCATCTTATGAAATTTCAATAGTCCTCCTCAGCAAGTTGAAGGTCAGAAAACATATACCTCATGTCCCGTCATGACGGGCATTTGACTGTCCATAAGAATAATATCAAAAGAAGCTCCACCAAGATGAAGATAAACAGCTTCTCTTCCATTCTTGGCCTCTTGAACATCTATTATAAACTGCTTCTGTGCCCCATATGACATCATCGCTCTCCGACTGCTGTCTCGAACAGCACGATCATCATCAACAATAAGCACAGATAAATCATAGCTGTAAACATAGAAAAGACAGAAAAAGAATAGTCATTAGTTAAGAGCTATGTGTTCTGAAGACAAAAAAAATTGACACCTACTAATCTGGGTCACCACTGATCAGTGCCTTCTGATTCAGCCATTGATTCACAACATCAATCTTCTTGCTCCTTGTATCACCAGATTCTTGATGAAGACTCAACCTCAGTTCCCTGGCTTCACCTCGATCTTTTTTCAGTGATTGGATCTTTTCCCCAATTGCATTATCCAAAACTTGCCTCTTTCCATCAAAGTTTGCAATGCACTTATCCAGTTTGTTAACAAGATTCTGAATCTCTCCATCAATTTGAGTGTTATCTTGTTCAGCCATTGATGAATTAATGGTTTCAGAGAGAGGGGATTAGAAAGAACAGCGAATGAGATGTTGTGGTGCCTGTTCGCCAAAATGCGGTCTTTTATATAGCGGTTATCTGTTGGGGGGGGGGGGAATT